GACAATGAGATATGGAACCTCTGGTCCCAGTACCTTTTCTCCAATATCTCGTGGTCTAAATGGGCCTTCCCTATTTCAAAAGAACAAACAACCATCAGGGTTTTGTTAGGGTACGATTTATCCATATTGAATTTCTCTAATATTTTCTGGATATAGGTTGACTGATGTACTAAAATCCCTAGGGAAGGTGCTCAAGCTGTAAGCCTAAGCTATACTTGGTCGTACCCAAATCCTTCATCTCGAACTCCCTATTTAGGTGATTGTGTGTCTATATCCTTTGGGCTGCCAATGATATTTAAATCATCAACATATACGGATATAATACAAAATCCTGTTTGAGATTTTTTAGTGAAAACATATGGGCAATCATCATTGTTAGTGTATCCCTTCGTTAAAAGGAAGTCACTCTGTCGGTTGTACCAGATTCGTCCCGACTGCTTTAAGCAATATAATGACTTTTGAAGCTTTACACAATACATGTTGTGATTTGTGTTTGGATTCAGAATTTAGATTCCATTGGGAACCTTCATGTATATGTCTGAATCAAGTGACCCATATAGATATGCTGTCACCACATCCATCAACTGCATAAATAGATGATTTTGAACTGCCAATGATATTAAATATCGAAAAGTAATTCCACTCATTACCGGGAATAGGTTTCATTGAAATCAATGCCGGGTCTTTGCATGAACCATTGTGCTACTAGCCTCGCTTTATATCTTACCACCTCATTGTTCTCATTCCATTTTCGGACGAAAACCCATTTAAATCCTACACGAAAGATTTTGGGAGGTGTAGGCATTGCAGCTTGAATTGCTTCTTTCCATTAAGTCCTGTCCGAGCGCTTTTTTGCACTCTGCCATGGTCTTCAGATCTGGATCATTGAGGAAGATTTCTGCAATTGTTGCGGAGAAATACATGTTGACAACAATAGTCTTACGATCATACGATTCTCCAGAATCAATGTAGTTGATGGAAATTTCTTCCATCTCATTATTTGACTCGTTATTCCCAAAGCTATGGACTCAGGGTGCTCCAATGTCTCAGGATCAGAATTTGGGTGCACCATTGATCCAAGATGTGGATTTTGTCCGAGGTTTAGATTTTTATCCACTAGTGGGTGTCTACCAACTTGGGGTTGGCTTGAATTTACTGATTTGGAGGATTTAGTCCTTGATATCCTCGGACGCTTACTTGGAGTATTATCCTTAGGAGCGGCCGTATTTCTCCCCCTCTTTTTGGGAAGTGGGAGTTGAATGGTTTTTAGTGGTACCTCCACTCTTTCAGGCGCATAACGAGCAGGATAAGAGGATTTAGTGACACCCTTATAATCAGTAAATACTTCTGGCAAATTATTTGCAATGTGTTGCAAGTTTATGAGTTTCTAAACTTGAAGTTCAGTCTCTTGAGTACGTGGATTTGAGAAGGAAATGCCTTGGGCGTTCTAATTGATTTTCTAGCATTCACTTTGGTACTTGAAGTCTCCTCCTAATGCAGGGAAATGGTTCTCATTGAATATACAATCAGCATACGGGGACGTGAGTAAGTCCCTGTAAGGGGTTAGAGGTATTTGATAATCGAAGGAGATTGATATCCCACATATATCCCAAGTTTTCTATGTTTGCCCATAGATGTATGCTTAGGCAGTGCAATCGGTACATATATAGCGCAACCAAATTTTCGCACATGGGAAATATTTGACATAATACCCACGTACTAATTGCAATGGGGAGACTACGTGATATGCAATTGGTCGCAATTGAATTAAGTCAGCAGCATGTAAGACTGCATGACCCCAACATGAAGTTGGTAGATTACAATTTTGTAATAAGAGTCTTGCAATGAGTTTAATTCTCTTAATAAGAGATTCTGCTACACCATTTTGTGTATGGACATATGGGACAGAGTGCTGAACTTGAATTCCTAAAGCCATGCAATGATCATTGAAAGCCCTCGAGGAAAATTTAGTAGCATTGTCCATTCGTATTGATTGACTTTGATGTTCAGGATTATGTGCTCTAAGTTTAATAACTTGAGCAATAATTTTTGCAAATGCATGGTTACGTGTGGACAATAGACACTCATGAGACCATTTAGTAGATGCATCTATTAGAACCATGAAATACAGACGTTGGTTTTATGGGGCCACAAATATCTCATTGAATGCTTTCGAGAAATTTGAGTGGCTCATTTTGGATTTTAACATGTGATGGACGTAAAATCAATTTTCATGTAGCGCATGAAGTGCATATAAAATCTAAAGATTTTTGGAATTTTGCAGTATTTAACTCATAACCATTAGAGTTGCTGATAATTTTTCGCATCATCCCTACACCAGGATAACATGTTAAGCGTGAATGTAAATGAACAAGGATTTGAGAAAACTGTCATTTCATTGATATGTTGAAAAGGATTATATACATATGGAGGGGTGTGTCCAAAGGACACAACCATTCGTGAAACTCCAAAGGACATGTCCGTTCGGTAACATGATTAACTGCTAATCACTAACACTAATCCTACTGCTCATACGGACAACGTATGGACGGCATACGGACATATGAGATCATCTGTGGAAAGACGCCTGTTGGTCATGGATAGATGCCTGTTGGTGTACAGGTGTCGTTTCAGAACAGATTGTACTCTTTTAGTACACTTGTAACTGTAAATTGTTTCCCGGTGTACTTTCTTGTGCACGGGAGAACACTTTGCGACAAGTGACCCATAGAGGAGGGCTGCTGTTGTAACCATGACGACATAGTGACAGGTTCGCAGGAGGGCGGCGGCATGTTGCCGAGACCCTGGAGCGGCCGGTGTTGCTGGTATTGGGGAGGAGCTCCCGTAGTCATGCCCCGGCGACGTAGGTTTCAGTTGAACCTCGTTAACAAATATCGTGCCTTAGGTGCCGTCTGTGATCTTGCATGTTCGTCTGGATAGATTCAATCGACGCTTCCGTGCGTGGAGATTAGCAGGCAACTCATCGTTGTAGGGGCTAATTTCTAACAAACTCTAGTATGGGACTATAGAGCTATAACCAAGCCAAGAAATAACAAGTTAGGATTCGATAGCACTTCAGGGTATGGTCCAAACACCAACAGAAAGGGGTGAGAAGGGTTGATGGAGATATACTGCAATTCAACCCTAAGTTTTAAGAAGTAGCACTAATGTCATGGATACATAGGCTAGATAGAATCACCACCTGATAGCGACCACAACTCTCTGTGTGGCAAGCCGCAGACCAAGGTACCTGATAGTATAAGCACCATGCTTACACTATATGATATTAATCTACTCCCGCGTGACGATCAGATTAGAGCATCCACTAAGGACAGAGAGCTCGTGCTATGAGGTAATAACCAATTATGCTAAACAAAGCTAAGATCATAACATTATGGTCTAAACTAGAGCTCAAGATTACTGCACAAAGTAAGTAATACTAAATATATGTGATATATATGATATGCATTAATAATATAAAATATAAAATATAAAATATTAGACAATAACCTCTAATTAATGTAATAATAAAATCACTACTGTTGAGAAGGCTTTCGTAGATGAGCATTTCAGGTTCACGGAGGTGGGCAGGGCGTCCAGCTCTGTCTGGACGCCTGCATTAATGACCCCTTACGCAGGCAGGCGCCCTGGGCGCCTTAACACGTCCATCTCTGTTAATACCACCTAAAAACCAAAAAAATGGGCACATTAACACGTCCGTCTCTGTTGCCCTTAACACGTCCGTCTCTGTTAATACCACCCAAAAACCAAAAAAATGGGCACATTAACACGTCCGTCTTTGTTAATGCCATCCAGAAACCAAAAAAGGGAATCAAACCCGCAACCAAACATTCAACACTACCACCTCTCCACCAGTCTAACACACTCATTTCTACCAATATATAATATGCTGTCGTTTTATATCAACATTTTGTAATCTTATATTGAATATTTTGGCTACTAAATGAACTCAAATGAAAAAAACTTTTAACTATAAAGTTTTAAAACTGGTTAAGCACAATAACTTTGGGATAAGATGTATCTCCATTCGAAATTGTTTGAAAATTTCAAAAAATTGAATGTCAAAATATGTGAATTTAAAACAAATATTAGAGATTCCAAACGACTTCAAAAACCTTATCAACAGCAAACATATAGCTCAGATCGGCCACTGCAACTTTGGTATTAACTATGTGAAAATTAAAGGTCGATTAGAAATTCTAAACTTTGAATTTCAAAATATATAAACTTAGAACACATATTTGTGACTCTACACAACATCAAATAAAAAACTTTTTAACTACAAAGTTGTAAACTGCATTGAGAACTATAACTTTCTTATAGACCATGTCAACGTCCGAGATTGTTTGATAATTTTAAATTTGAAATTTCAAAATCTATGAACTTACAACAATATTTTGGACCCTAAATAGTTCCAACTCAAAAAAATCTCAACTACAAAGTTGTACATCGCATCGAGGGTTATAATTTTGATATAAAGTTTATCTTCATCTAAGTTCATATAGATGTCATGAATTATTTTTGGTTGCAACTAATTATAGAGACGGACATCTTAGGACGTTCGCCTCCGTAAATCGATTTATGGAGACGGTCGCTTAGAATGTTCGTCTCTGTTAATTGTGAGTTTTGGAGATGGACATCTTGGAACCCGCCTTCAAAAATCTTTACGGAGGCGGAGTCCAAAGATGACCGCCTCTATTAATCGATGATTTACGGAGGCGGTCACCTTAGAACTCCCGCCTTCGTAAATAATTTTTAAAGGCAGCAATTTTCGTGGAGCCTTCCTAACCATTTATGGAGGTGGTCACTAGGTGTGCTTGCCTTCGATAGTGTTTAGCTTCTGTCTTACAAAATTATTTTTTTAATCCTGAAAATGTAACCAAAAAATTAGGAAATGATGGTCAATGCCATGTTCAAGCCACAACCAAGTAGCGAGTATTGTACTCACTCTCACTGTCGGGTAGAGATTTGACGGGGCAATGACCCATCCTATCATTATTGGTTCTAGCCTTGATCTAGCAGCGATATTTTCTATCAGTGTTGGGTTAGGAAATTGGCAATGATCGAGAAACCCATGCTGCACATTATTCTTTATCGAGTCTATCTCCGGTCGCGATGTCGAATTTAGACCCTGCATTAATCTAAGGCTTTGAAGTAGTGAGCGACTGGTTTCTTGGGGTCTAACTGATGGCTCTTTACTTTTACGATTGGATTTCAATTAAATGGCTTCATAAGTTGGGCGAGACTAAATTTTATGGCGAAACCTTGCAATAAGTTTTGTCCGCTTGCCTCTTGGAGGGCCAGATGGTACTTTCTACATTATTAAAAAAACAATATCTTTTTGATATCTGATGGGCTGGCCAGCAGGCACGTCATTATCTTGTCGGCAATCAACTCACCGGCGTATCAGGCCTGCCGAACGGATCTCCGAAGATAAGGCCACAATGATTCGAAGTACCATGCCAATTATGCCCAAATAAAATAGTCGTCACTGCCAGAGTGATGCATTATTCATCCAAGGACTGCACAGCTCTATAAATAGGTCTCAACAGCTAATCAAGCAGTACGCTGTACGCACAATTGCTGTACAAAGTGATCAGATCAGATGGAGAGCAAGCAGAGCTCTGAAGGGAAAATGGTCGCACGGCAAAACCATTCCGGTGAAGAACGTCCAAGCACTCGCCGAGAACGCGGCGGAGCTGACGCCGGAGGCCATCCAGCGGTACATCAGGCCGGAGTGCCCCGACGATATGGTTGCTCACCATGGTGAGAGCATTCCTGTGGTTGACCTTGGCAGGCTTATTGATTCCCAGACCTCGCAGCAGGAGGCTACCGTGCTCAAGTCTGCGTGTGAGGACTGGGGGTTCTTCCAGGTATTAAGATTTCATTTCTCAATTTTATTTTGGTTTGAAAACTTTTATTGAAACACACCTTGCCCTACTAGCATCCACACGAGTCAATACATCAACTGTGAATACTACATATCAATAACGTTAATTATATTAGTCTTGTCTTTGTTCATTATAATCATCTGGAAAAAAAAAATCAGACTACATACTTGCTTCGTACTACTCCGTGCTGGCTGTAGGTCTCCCTACCGTTCAGCTCACATGTCAGTAACACACGGCTAGTTTTTCCCAACAATTAACCGTGCAGTGAGAGCAAATGCAAAGCTTTTATTTTTCATTATTTTAATGATACCATATATAGATCTATGTGTGGTTTTTTGGTTCCAATAAAAGGAGTAGTACAGAAGCTCAATCTTTCCCCGTTCCAAACTATAAGACGTTTCGGTTTTTCTAAATACATTGCTTTTGTAATATATCTATACATAGTATATATCTAGATACATAGCAAAAGTTACGTATCTCGAAAAGCTAAAACATCTTATAATTTAGAACGGAGGGAATACTTTTCTTCACTCGGATTCTCTTATGATATTTTGCCATGGCATTTTTCCCCCACAGGTAAGTTAAACCCTGTCACTCATATGTCCTAATAGCATGTCAATTCCTTTTAATTGTGACAGTCACTATGTAAAAAAACACATCACAGACGTGGGTTAAGGCAATACGCGTTTGTATAATAAGCTTATACTACAGACGCGTCGTGTCTATGATACACAAACACACGTCTGTGATAAGAGTACACACGTCTGTGTAAAGAGTTATCACATACGTGCATAGACATCACGCGTCTGTGAGGACCCCTTATCTTAGACGCGCGTAGCCAACACGCGTCTGTGATAACGATTTACAAAACAACAAAAAAGAAAAATAGATAAACCTCTGCTTTGCAACCACAACCACATAATACTCCAAATCAGTATTCAGTACAATCCAAAAAATACATAATACTCCAATCAGAAAGTTCACAACCACATGTGCGCCAACTAAATCATTTAAGTCCATTAGTTCACAACCAGTAGGCCCAACAAACATTTTAAGCCGGTTCACATCATGTAAACCTAATAGCCATTTAGAGAGCAGCCCTAAACAAAATGCAATAAGTCCTTAGTCCTTACATTGAGGTATACTTCAGCAATCTGTTCAATTTGGGATGCTTTCTCTTTTGCAACAGCTGCAGCCAGTTCAGCTTTTGCTGCTCTTGAGCCTTCTCAATTTATTGGCTATTTGAGTTTTTTACATAGTTAAATAGTACCATTGATGTTATATTTTCCTTGAGAAGCTGAATGAGTTGCTGAGTTGGACCAGATACATATACCCCGTACCTGCCTCATCCCCATTATAAAAATCGTTTTCTGTATCTTTTCACTGTCGAACAACTTTTCTATATCTTGTACGCACTCTAGAGAATTATTTTCGCTCTCTATCTTTGGTTTGCGAGAAATCTAAAATAGAGGGTAGCAATACTTCGGTAACTAATTAAAGAATCTGTTGGAGCGTATTTTTTTTTATCAAAATCTCTATCCCTAATAATTTTTCAGTTTTTTGTAGTAGGTGCTCCATCCTTTTGGGACTGAATGGAGCTAATAATTAGGAAGGATATAGAGAGTGGCTTGAGCTTCTTTTATGGCCTCGAAAAATTTATCAGATGATACCATACTCGTAACAACTCCCTAATAAATTAGCATAAAAAAATGTGTACAATTCTTAGCGATGCGTTTGACATCGATTATGATAGTTTTGTTTTTTTACAACCAGTGTCTCGTTTGTCTCCTCGCAAAAAAACAAAACTAGTGTCGTTTGTCTATTTTATTTTAATGTTTGCTTGCCCACTTTACCTTATCTTGCAATAATTAATTTGGCCATGCGTTTGACATCGATTTTCGTAATTTTTGTTTTTTCAACTAGTTTCATTTAATTTGTTAATGTTTGGCTGGCTGGCTCATACCTTATTTTACAATAAATAATTCACACTACAATAAACTATGAAATGACTCGGGACAACATATTCTGCAAACTAATTAAGCCTTATCCCAATTAAATCCCACCCTTCTGTCTGCTTTCAGAAAAATGATAATATTGAAGTTCCCTCTCCAATGAGTCAGTACAACATATATAATAGAAAGTACAATTATATTTACAGGTGAAAAACCATGGAATTCCAGAGACAGTTCTTGAAAACATGAGGAACAACCTGGAGTACTTCTTCAGACTTCCCCTGGACGAGAAGAACAAATTTGCTCAGCTGCCTGGAGACCTCCAAGGCTACCGCCAAGCGTTCGTCGAGTCGGAGCATCAGACACTGGACTGGTGTGACAGGCTTTACCTGGTGACCCAGCCACCTCACGATCGTGACATGAGACCATGGCCAACGACTCCTGTCAACTCCAGGTAAGTATCTTAGTCAATTATATATGTGTATGCCCTTGATGTTATACCAATCAATCAATTAATACAGTTAGGGCCATCAAGCAATTAACATCTGCACGAGCAGCATCACCAATTATTCTGAATTGTTTCGATTAACGCAACAGGGAATCCATTGAATCCTACTCCTCTGCGGTGATGAGGGTAACTCGATCGCTTGTGCAGATGATCGCCAAAAACTTAGGTGTCGATCTGGACAAAATTAGAGATACTTACGTCAGTCAGGCATTAAGGATGACCTACTACCCTGCATGCCCCGTTGCTCATGACAAGGTTTTAGGTATTTCACTGCATTCCGACATTTCTCTTCTAACATTGGTATGGGAGCTGAATCAGGTAGAAGGGCTCCAGATCAAGAGTCAAGGTTCATGGGTGCCAATAAAACCCCACTCCAAAGCACTGGTCGTGAATGTAGGTGATTTTCTTAGGTACGCAACTATAACTATTATTGATGAGCTAGCCACATCAAGTGTGTGCTATCTTTTCTTACTTGTATGTTGTTCATACTGAATAACATCAGATCAGATTTTGCGAGATCGTGAAAACCAAAAGGACTTATCCCCACACTCTAATTATATGAGACCCTCAACTATCTATTAACAAGAACTTTGAAAGCATCTAGGCCCTAGTTGGGTTTCGGTGATTAATGACAATATGAGACTACTATGACTAACGTGTGTTTTGTAGAGGCAATTTAAGTTAGGCCATGGTAATGACAATTGATTGGACAATCATGGTTGTCATGCCCATTCGATGGAAATCGTTTCGGTTTTCAAAGGATGGACGACAAGGTTAAGGATGGATTAGTTCTAAGTGTCGTTTGGTGTTGAAGAGACACTTAGAGTAGTTTAGGACTTTGTTTTTCCTTTGACTGTACTATTAAGGGGGTATGAATTAGTAACTTGACCTAGGTGAGTCTAGTGAGTTAGGTGTGGTGCACACTTGTCGAATCTAGCACTAGGTAGCTCCGGAGTAGCCCTAAGATCGATTGGAGCAAACTTTATTCACATATGATTTCGAGTTAGAAGTGAATGGAGGGTCAAATGACTGACCGGACGCTGGTCTGATTGTGACCGGACGCTGAAGGGTGAGTCCGGTCAGTTCATTTGATCAACTGGAGCCATCTGGTTGCGATCGGACGCTGAGTGAAAAGTGACCGGACGCTGGGTGCCAGAGTCCGGTCAACTCTAGAGAGGTTCCAGAGAGGGAGATTCCTGATCGGACGCGTCCGGTCAGTGCTGACCGAACGCTAGTCAGGATCCTGTAACTTACCGGACGCTGAACAGCGAAGTGACCGAACTCTGGGTGCCAGCGTCCGGTCAACATCAGTAAGGTTCCAGAGAGCAGTTTTCGTGACTGGATGCGTCCGGTCAGTGCTGACCGGACGCAGGTCAGAGTCCAGTCAGAACTTAACGGCTCTTTCTAACACAGTGGTGGGGATAACTGACCAGAGCGTCCAGTTACCCTGACCGGAGCGTCCGGTCACCCCGTAGAGTGATGACTCAGCCTCCAAACGTTATGTTTTGAATGAAGGGTATAAATACTTATTCCACTCGTCCAAAGGAGGTCTCTTGCCTAAAACACCCTTGAGAGTGCAAAGGAGAGCAAGAGCCTAGTGAGGTGATTGAGATTTGAGAATCCAAGATTAAGGCCTCATTAGTGCAAGGAGGGTAGCAAGTGTGCATCCACCCTTCGCATTAGGCTTGTTGTGGTCAAGTGAGAGTTCGTGCTTGTTACTCTTGGTGATCGCCATCACCTAGACGGCTTGGTGGTGATCGGGAGTTTGGTGATCATCCGGCGGAGCTTGTGGATGACCCAACTCAAGTTGTGAGCGGTTGTGAGCGATTCACCGTGACGGAGTGTCGAAGAATCAACCCGTAGAGAGCACTTGATCCTTGCAGGGATCAAGGGGGAGCTACACCCTTACGTGGGTTCTCCAACGAGGACTAGTGGGGAGTGACGACTCTTCGATACCTCGACAAAACATCGCCGCGTTCCTTCTCCTTTCTTTACTTTAAGCATTTACATTTGAGCAATTCATTTCTTGTCTTTACAATTTTAGAATTGCCATGTTAGAGTAGGATTAGAACCTAGGGTGCAAAACTTTTGTGTGGTAGAACAATAGGAACACATTCTAGGCACAAGGGGTGAAGTGGACTAAGTGTAGGGTTTAATTATTGCAAAGAATTTTAGAATTAGCCTAATTTACCCCCTTCTTGGGCATCTTGATCCTTTCACACTTCTTATTTGTAGATACTGACAAATGGGAAGTACCAGAGCATTGAGCACAGGGTCACTGTTAATCCTCACAAGGAGAGGATATCCATTTCTGCATTTCACCTCCCAAAGTTTGATATGAGTGTGGGTCCACCATCTAAAATAGTTGGAGGTGAACTCAAGAAATACAAGACCCTGAGAGTGGACGAGATTGCTAAGGTTGTTTTCTCCAGCAAACTTGATGGGGAGAAAACCAAAGAGTATGCCATGTTCAGCATCTGAGTGTACAAAGATCAGAAGATTGTCATATGAGCTACAAGAACAGAAACTTCAACTTCCATAGCTGCAATCGCTCGAAACCTTTGGATTACCCCACTTTGGCCTTGGTGCTGTCACTTATACAACAATAAAAGAATAAATAAATGGATCGATGTATGCAATTGTTTGTTCTATAAATGAGAGTGTGTACGTCTAGTCGATATAGACGTACAGATATGCTAGTATGACTGTAAAATAGAAAGGTACTGATGTGAATGCAACTTGCGAAAAAATGATATGGTCCCCTTTTTCTCCGGATGGATCCCTGCACAGAAAGGATTTTAGGACAGGCCCCCTGACCATTTTGTGATGATGCTCGCTTTTGTTAATCATTTTTAGAGTAGGACATTCTAAGGTGACCGTCTCTATTAATGAGACAGATATCCTAAGCTAAAGAGTCAACCATTGTTAATCGATGAACAAAGACGTCTAGCTCGGAAAATGACTATTAACAGTCCCCCTCTATAAATTGATTAGAAGAGGTGGTCGTTCTAAGGGCCCGCCTCTAGAAATAGTTGTCTACCATAACTTTTTTATATGAACTCGGATGAAGACAAACCTTACAACAAAACTATAGGTCTTGACGCGATCTATAATTTTTTAGTTGAATTTTTTTTATTTGAAACTTTTAGAGTCCAAAAAATTAGTTTTAAGCTCTAATAAGATTTTAAAATTTAAAATTTAGAATTTCCAAATAACCTCAGATGGTGACATGATGTATGTGAAAGTTGGTTGTTCTCAATACGGTCTACAACTTTTTAGTTAACAAGTTTTTGAAATTTCAAATGACATTGGATGTTGATATATGATCTATGCTAAAGTTTTAGGTGTCATTGCAATCTACAACTTTGTAGTTGCTAAGTTTTTATTTTGAAAACATTTAGAGTCTCAAATATTCATTTCAAAATTCTTAGGTTTTGATATTCAAGTTTTTGAAATTTTGAAACTATCTCGAAACAAACCCTATAATTGAATTGTAGAGGTCGATAAGATATAAAACTTTGTAGTTGAAACTTTTTTCATTTGAAATCATTCGGGTCTTGAAACATTTATTACAAGATTACGAAATATTGATAAAAAATATCATCATATATATAGACACAAATGAATATGTAGTGTAGTGGTAGAGAGGTGTGCATAGGCGCGGTGGAGAGGAAGAGAGCATTGGAGAACTTTTGTAGGTTTCGATCCATAGGCAGTTTTTGGGCCTTAGTTTTTATGTGATCTAATTCAACCCCTCTCCTCTTAGGCATCACGGTGCCTACACCTCCATTTTGGGCATGACACAAGAAACCATGATATGGATGTTGTTTCTATTCTCCCTTATAGGGAGAGCGAAACGATGACACACTCACAAACCATAGGAAGCGTAAAGTGAGATTGCGGTGAATTACGAGATAAATTCACCTTGCCTTCTTCCCCATTTTTCAGATCCTTGCTCTATGAGTAGACATATTCTTACTTTTCAATAGAAAGAGCCTTAGGAGCAACTTGGGAAAGATTCACAAGCTTACTCTACATCCGGACCATACTTAACTAACCTTGACCTAGTCCTTTTGTAACACTTCAGCCATGTCCTTAGTTAAGAAGCTTCTCTAAATGTGTACATCTCTTTAGGAGGTATGTTCTTCCATAAGACCTCAGTGAAGGGAGAGTCATCCTTGACAAAATCATTGAGAATATCCCCTTACACTGGTGCTATGATGAGTTCATTGAGGAAGAAGTTGAGGTAAGCCCTAACTAAGAACAGGAAGCACCAATAGCCAAATGCAAAACTTTGGCAGGCCCCTCTCAATATTTGGTTGATGAGGACCCTCCTGAACCTCCAATTTATCCCTCCGTTACTTTGATGACGATCCAATATTCCCAAACTATGGAGGTACCTCTAACTTCCTAGTAGAGGACAAATGAGGGCATAAATTGTCTGAGCGAAGAACCCCGTGATCTAAAGGCGGTTGAGGACAAAAAAAATCTATGCAAAGCCCTAAACAAGGAGTGATGGACGAAGACGTGTGGTCTATGAACATTTTTGAGCATCAAATCTAGTGCCTAAAAAAAGAAGGTTTTGGACTGCCCCCCGACCCCCAAGCGCTCCCTAATGGGCGACTCGGGGGGCCCTCACCGGCGCCACCGGGTAGAACCCCTCCTGCCTCTCCTCCAGCCACCGCCGCTGCCACTCTCCGGCGTGCGGCGATGGTGACCAGCGGCGGCGCCCAAAAAATGGACCTCCCACTGCAGTTTATTTCTCCACCTCCCACCACACCTCCTCTTCCTCATGAGAGCTCAGTTTTTCTGCCAACAATGGTGGCCGGCGGTGTGCTGCAAACGTCGAAACTAAGTCCGCTGGGCCCGGATCCGGTGACCCCCACACCAGATCTGGCGAATGGCAGGAGATCATGTGCTGTGGCCGATGGGCTTGCTAGCACCGCAACCGGTGGGCACGCAGGCCATGCGGATGGGCGGCCATGCCCTACACCAGCCCACGGCGGCCTAGACTTAGTGCGCCACGACCGCACAGACATGGTAGCCGGCTGCGGCTGCGGCGGCAGGCGGCCAGCCGATGGAGCGGCCAAGCCCTGAGCCCATGGTGGCGAGTAGAGGCCGGCGAGGAGGCAGATCCATGCCTCCTGGGACCTTGGCCCGGATCTGTCACTCCCTACCCCGGATCTGGCTGCTCGGTGGTCGGATCTAGCGCATGTGACCTACAGGCTAGGCAACCAAAGAAAGACGGACGGGCGGCCATGCGCCCTCGACTGCATAGGCCCAGATTCAGCCGACGGCAAGCGGCTCCCGGAGGCGTGGTGTGTCGAGTCGCTAGAGGCCTCCTGGCTATGGCGAGGTGCGCCTAGCAAGGGTGCGTGTGGGCCCCTAGCGGCAGCTTCCAACTGCTGGGCCTCTACATCCCAAGGCAGCGGGTGGAGGCCTCCGCTTCCCTAAGGCGGCTCCTAGCCACCGGGCGCTGGCTGCAGGCAGCAGGACCTCCGGTGCGTGGGTCCCTGGCCGCTGCTGCTGCTGGAGCTGCTGCTCTGGCACTGTGCTAGGACAGGCGGTGATGACACGGCAGGCAACTAGGCGGGCGCACGGCCAGCGTTGCAACGGGCGGCGCCAGGAGCGTGTCACATTTGGGCGCGTTCATGACACCGGCGACGGACGTGTCATCGTGGCAGGGCCCGTGGGTGCGCGGGCATCATGTTCTAGGATGAAAATCCTTCTTGAGTGCTCTTACAATGACGATGGCGTCTGCGGATGTCTATCCCCTTCCTGAAGGTGTCACTGGAGGCTCAAGCTGCCTTACCCTGCCCCAAAAGCTCTGGCTCCGCTAGTGAACTCTGGCTTCGACTCCTCATCTACAGGTCTCAGGGCGAAAGCCCTTGCGAGCCAGGTGCTTCAGTCATCGATGATGGCGTCTATGGACATCATTTCTACCTGTTCCCCCGCTGAGCCCGGCACAACCTTGTGCTCTCTCTGGTTGCTCTCCCACCCTTTGTGCCTCCTTGCTCCTTGCTCCCCTTGGGTGAGACTGGCCCTGGCTGTCAGTTGTTGCCATTGTTTCGACGAGTGTCCTCCTTTGGCGTCTCTGCTCTGTCGGCGCTCTCCTTGATGGTGCCAAAAAATCTAATGCCGGGTGGTGTCTCCACCGTTGCCGCCATTCCCCTCCAAGGTTTCGTCCCTATGGACGGTGTTGAATGGTGGTTTGTGGGCTTGGAAGTGCTGTAGGTGTCACCATCAGCTTCAAGGGAGGTTGTCATGTCCGGTGATCTTGGGCTTGCGTGTCCGTAACCACTCTTAGTCCCTATTCCACTTGTTGGTCCTTAGATGGAGGGCGGCAGTGGAGCGGCATAGCTACGAGGAGTGGTGCAGGGCACAATGGCCATGGCGAAACCGACGAGTATGCTGTTCGGCGGTGGCGCAAATCGACGATCGGTTGGCGTCTTTCGTCTTGCGTCTAGGCTTATCGTTGAGTCCTCATGTTGGTTTTCTTGTTGTTTCTATTAAGTGTTGTTGGTGGTGGTGTGCTGTTGTAATCTCTCTCTCCCCTCCCAAGTGTCAGTACTTCTGTGACCTCCAAGGTCGTCTTTGTATTAGGTGCTTTGCACCCTTCCACCCACCAGCTTGCTGGGATCTATGGAATGAAATCAGGTGGGGATCGTTTTGATCCTCCCCGTAGTTGATAAAAAAAGTTTCATTCTACTAGAACCATAAGATCGACCCATGCTCGCTAGACCTCGGTGTTTGGGTTACCCGATTTTTTCAGTTAGGTCAGGTAGTTTAGGTAATTTGAAATTCGGGTAATGAAAATTGCTACCCCAAAAAAACACTAGCCGCAATATTGGGTACCTGATAATTCAGGTTTGGGTATACCCGCATCCGAATTCATAGAAAACAACAAACTGTACAAAATTTTAGCAGTAATTTATACATAATTTCAGTAACAATTTGCATAGAATTTCTGCAGCAATTTACATAGAATAATATATCACAGGCACTTGTTCACACAAAGAGAATCATATACTAATAAAGTGATAAGTTCAAGTGTTTAACTGACAACACATCAGAAACACAAAGACAAAGACACATCTTCATGTAGTTTGGGTACCGATTGGTATTACCCGAACTACCAAAACTAATTTCAGGTAATCAGAACCGCTATCCGAATTTGGGATTAGGTACCTTGGGTTTGGGTATTTCGGGTCCGAGTTTGGGTAATTCGGGTACGGGTAATGGGTAACGGGTATTTTGCCTAGGCCTAATGCTCGCACAAGAAGTCTCCCGAGTCAATAATTTACTTTGACTAGCAAATAAGCACGTGTTTCTAAAAACTGTTTGAAACACAATGGAAATATTAATTGAATTGTCGTTATATAATAAAGGTAGATGGCAAGTGCTTGATGGATTTGATCGGGTCGTGTAGATTAACAAGGTTCAAATTGTTTGTTTGTTAGGAAGGCTAAGCTGCATATATC